GTAACTCCATCGGGATACTCTTCTAACACCTTCCAAACGGATTGATGTAATTGATATAAAGTTGTAACAAGTTCAAAATTTACATTTTGTGAAGCGGTTGTTGGACCAGTTCCAGATATTTGATATGCTGTTGGATCAACTGCGGCCTAATATTAAAATCACTGCTTTTAGTCATTTCCATAGGAGTTTATAAAACGATTTTACAAAGGAATTATACCATAGATTCGGACTTGACGCAATATAAATTCAAAGCTTTGACAACATTCTTCGCTACAGATCGTAGCAAGTTTAAATCAACTTTGGCAATTTCCAATTCACTAGAAAAAAACTAAATTAAAACTAGGGAAAAATTACACCTCCGTATTGACGGATAAAAAATTTACCTAGAAATTACTCGTATGAAATTTGTAACATCACTTTTAATCGGAGGAGCACGAGATAATCCAGTAGGAAATGCCGTGTTAATTGGATCGAACATTCTCGTTACTGAACGAGCCAAATAACCTGCTTCGAAACTCGATATACTATGAAGCATAACTATGGTTTCTTGACTATTTAAATTAGGCGAATTTCTACTTAGACTTAATTTTTCAAGAATTTAAGACTCTTCCTTTTACATGAAGGGATGGTTCACCTTTGAAAGTCGCCATCTAACTTTAAATCACCACGTTTTTCAAGTTTCACAAACAAGTCATAGAATAACTTTAGTAACTTTGGATATCCACTGACGAGTGTTTGTTGTAGAAAAGTCGACCCTTTGAATAAACATTAAATATCTATCAGATTCAAATCACAATTCGATAATTAATAAATTATAAATACCCTTGGTGGCTTCTTTTAATTCTTTTTCGAAATTTAAAGAAAGAACTTTCCAAAAATGTTGTACCAACCCTCCATCTAAGATCTAAAGGAACAAATTCAAAAAGTCAATTCGAAAAGAAATCAATCTATAAAATTTAATTAATATAGAAATATTAAACCTTGGAAACTTCATCTAAATACGTATTATGAGACATCACATCTCTTTCACTAGCAAGCACGCGTTCTAACGTACAAATCTAAAAAAAAAAAAAAATCGTTTCTTTATTAAGTCTGGACATCAATTCAGAAGGAACAATAATATATATAGATAAAGACACGAAAGTCACGGGAGAAAAAGGAGCAAAAATAACCTTACTACAGTTTTCGTAAATATCATCCATCAATACTTCCATTCGTTTCCACAATGCTGTAGCCAATAACGCCGTTGTTCCAGTACTTGGTTCTGATCCTAACCGGCGAATTCCTTTTAATGGAACAACACCAGAATCTAAAAACAAATAAACATTACATGATTTACTTTAATTCTAAGCCGATAATAAACAGATCTTTAAAATACCTTTAACTTCTTTTTGCAATGACACGAAGTCAACAGTATATTTCATCTGATTCAATAATTTTCCAGAAATATCGTCGACATATTTGGAAACGCGCTCTCCCATTCCATGAAGGTTATGAAATATTTGAAGACCAATAGAGATATCTGTTCCATTCTAAAAAAAATATATATATATAGTATAAATTATCTAACACCCGACTATCCCATCGGTAATAATTTGTCCAAGAAGTCATAAAAAGGACGAGTAATAGGCTAGAAAATAATATTCTAATCAAATGTTGCTAAAACTCCGGTTGCCCAATGAAATTCAATTTTCAAGACATTTTTTTTTGTTTTATGAGTAAAAAATTTTTACCTGATTAATTATTCCTTCATTTAACAATCGTTGAGCTTCTCCGGTGATTTTATTTTTGGCCTGTAAAATTACCGGTAATTGAGCTTGCACAAGTTCAATCCCATTCAAATCGACATCTTGCGAAAGAGCCTCTTGATAAAAAATATTGTAAACAAGCCTTTATTAGTTGAAAATAACGACAAATAAAAAAAAATAAAATAAAGGATTTGTAATTTACACCTAATTCACCAAGGTTCGAAGCAGCTTTAATATATTCAATTCCTTTTTCACCTTCGTTATCAATATCTGTTAATTGACCTTCTAAACATCTCGCTAGATAAAAGAATCTTTCGACATGACGTAATAACTCTGATGCGGCTTGTAATCTTTCCAATTGCACAGAGTAATTCTTTATCTGCGCGTAAGGTGTATATATCTTTGTTTTCAATCTATGTAAATGTAAAGATCAGATGAATATTGTTATACTGAACCTTTTACATTAAAACTTTACATCGAACCATCGATTACCTATCTAATGATAAGTTGAGTGATTGAATTCCATCTTTAACAGTATTCAACACAACTTCTAATTCCCTTACTCCAGAGGCTTGTGATATCAAATCCTCAAAATGGGATGTAACCTATTATTAAAGTTTAAATAGAAAATGTCAATTAATGATAAGTAAAGATGAAAGATCGATTTAAATGAAAAACAACGGACCTGGTCATGTAATTGTTTATTCAAATTATCTATACTAAATGACAATTTTGCCAGTGATATTGTAATATCATTGTCACCGTCCGAGGTCGCATTAATGGTGGAATTTGCATATTCTTTTGGGTCAAAACTATTCGTTAAGAAAGCTTTGTAATCTGTTTATATTCAACAAACATTTACGAAATTAAAAATTGATTAAAGATTATTATTCGACAGATAGAAAAATTATGCACCGATATATAAGTCGGGTTCTGGTAAGTTATCCGTCATTGTTAATATCTGAAAATAAATTTTCCGCACTATTTATGATTCTTAAAATGTCACGTGATGCATTTAACTTATTGCTAAAATTGGGAATTGCTTATTTCGTTTTAGACTTAACATTTACATTATGTGATTGACCAAAAGGGATTTATTAATTAATCAGAGTTCTTAAAATTTATTTATACAATTGTCTGGAAAAAACACATTATTATCTCTCATTAAATTATAAAGGGTTTTCCTCATTCTTTCATCGCAATTACGATTTTTGAGAGAAAGAACAATATGCTGGAATGTTTGTGCGGTAGGACGAAAGCCATGTTCTTGAAATTTGATAACAGCTTCAAGAGCGACGGTTGGATTTTGCATACGACACAGGGAATTAATTAAATCATTATATGAGATTATATCTAAAGGGATATGGTTATCAGCCATTTGATGAAACACAATTAAGGCTTCATTAAATTTCTCATTTCTTAATAAACAACTCATCAAGAAAGTGTACATATATCTTTTAATTTCTTTTGGTCTCATTTCGCTCAATTTCAAGTTGGAGGATAAGTTCGTATCATCAATATCTGAATGTTCCTTTTCATCATAAATACTATTCTCCGATACAACGACATCTTTGAATATGGCGTGCATTGCGTACCTCATACTCAAAAAAGCACCCATACCGATCCCAGCCATAGTCAACCCATTTATATCCTGCACGACCGTTGCAAGAGCGAATATAATACATTTAGCAACAAGAGCGCCGACTCCTAAATGCATGAACGTTTTCACCCAAACTCTTGTCCTCACCGAGAAAAATATTGAGTCAATTGAGGAGTCTATTGTATGAAAAGCCCGATCCAAATCTAATTTATTAGCGCACGCAAAGATCAATAATTTATAAGTGCTAACGTTCAATGTGACAAAAGTCTTCAACATTTCATTATATGCGGCGTATGCAAGGTCAGTTCTCTTTGCAATTCCACATACTAAAATATATGAGTTGTAGACATAAGTTGTCTTACAATTCTGATCCAACCTTTCAATCATTCCATTTGCAACTCTTATTACATCGTCCGTTGTATGTGTCTTTGATGGAACATCTATCCAATACTTTGACATGTCCTTACTTAATGAATTCACCGAAAAATTATTTAATGGACTCTTATTATGTTCTTGGATAATTAACCTTGAACAAGCTTTGAATGCTTCTCTGATTGTTTGTGGATGTGGCGTATGATGTTTGTAGAAAAGTCGATTCACGGCATTCTCAAGTTGTGTTATATTCTTGCAATATTTAAAAACTTTATTAAAACTTTCCGTTGTATAATGCTTTTTTTGTATAATGGAAAATGTAGACTCATCGAGTTTGGCGATGTTTTTTCGATCCTGAGAGAGTGTAAAAGCAAGACATCTTGCTTGAAATTTGATGAGCGATGTACGTGGAAGTTTACTACATATTATCCTACCATCTGCGATCAATAATAGCCTTGACATGATTTTATGAAAAAAAAAAATTACCGATTTTTGTTCACAGGTTAATCAAATATCGACGGGTTACACGGGAACCAAAAATTCAGGAAAAAAAAAATTTTCATTTTTAAATGCATCAGCCGGGAGTTGAACCCGGGCCACTCGCTTGGAAGGCGAGTATTCTACCGCTATACTACTGATGCTTATCATATATTAAGCGGTCGAATCTAAAATTGATCAACTACATTAAACTAATTAAATAATCTTTAGGAACTTTTTAATATAATGTTTTCTTTCACAAGTAACGATGGTAATGGTGTTACCTTATGATTCATCTTAGCATATGATCTCATATAAATTTAGACCTAAAAATAGCATGATAAACGATTTTCTGAATGAAAAAATCTTTTCCCGCTAATAGAAATTGACTTGGTTAAAATGACTTTTTTTAAAATTCTATTTCCGGTTTAAATTAATCTTAAAATTTTTATGGAACTTTCTTCCCTAACCTGAATCTATAAATAAAATATAGCCTGGACTCTCAATTCTTTTTTTAATGATGTAAAAAGGAAAATGTTTTTCCAAAGAAAGTTCGTTTATATTCCAATAAATGGTTCAAACGAAATTTAGAATAGATACATGCGTAAATGTTGTTATCATCTTCATATATATATATCTCTATAATTTAAAAATAAAAGGGATCAATATTCCGGTTTTTTTTTTCTTCTTGATCCTTGGTAAAAATAATTTTTCTGTTATTGCTTTCATATATCATTTTGCTCAGACATTTAAATTTTTATTTTTATTTTAATATTGATTTTTTTGATAAGTTACTAAAAGAAATGCCAACACGAAATGATGGCGTGGCGGTTTTTCGACACCATAATAATGATTTACAAGAACAATTTCATTCAATACCGCCACCAACTTATGAACAGTCAACAAATCCTCAATTTTTACCTTCATCCCCAAGTATAGAAGATTTATCAGCAGATCCTACATATCTAATTCAACAAGAAGAAAGTCTTAAATATTTTAAAACCGAAGGAAGAAATAATAATAATAATATAACTGGTAGCAATTCGACGCGTTTAATTAACAATGATAATAATAACGGACTCTCTTCACCTCCGACAACGCATTCATTATTAAACTCTCCAGTTCCTTCAGCTCCTCCGGCAGAATTGATTCTTGATGATGAATCATATTTTCTAGCTCTTCCTTCTCCCATAGCAAATCCGAATTTTCGTACATTTCCGAATTCAAATCCAAATTCTTCTTCATCATACCCCATAACAAATATTTCTCCTTATCAGCAACATCCTCAAGCGGTGACATTAAATACTAAGCAACAGCAACCTGCACCAACCGTAAATGAAAGTACGATATGTAAATTCTTAAAACCGTTAAAAGATAAAAGAAATTGGTTTGCGTTAATTTATTTGTTATTATGGGATTTGAATTTTATCCTTTTTAGTTTTATGTGGATAGTTTTCACTTTTTGTATTTCCATTTCCATGATGATTATTCCACCAATTGGTTACATATTATTAACTTGGTCAGTCTTGTCCTGGAGGTAAAAAATCGTTTCTTTTTTTATTTATAATGTATTTCAATTTGAATTTTATTTGTTAATTCAACTTTTACTCTAACAACAGAGCATTAGCCCATTTAGAATTTTTAGCATTTAATTTAGTTTTTACTTCCTCATTCTCCCCATCATTCGCGCCCATCCTTCCGCCTGCTCATATTCCACGTGAACCAGGTCAAGGTTATTTTGATTACCTAATTCAAATTTTAATTGACGGTTTTACCGTTAGATGCTTTGCTTATTTCGTATTCATTAAGCCATGGGTTTCCCTATTTGCAACATTATGTACCTGGATTTCTTTTATTATCGGTTTGAATTTCTTGGTCTTACCTATATTCATGCCAATTTATAGAAATATTATGACTTTTGAATTAAAATTGGGAAAGAGAGTACTAAATGTAAAGATTGATGATAAAGAAAGAGGAATTGAAGTGTAAATCATGTAGCACAAATACCATTAGATTTGTAAATATACATATAAATATAAATATAAAAATTATAATGGAAACGACGAAAAAAAAAAAAGCTTGTGATTTTTTTAAAAATGTCCGAATCTAATGAAGTTAATGCTCAGTCAAAAACTAAAGCGCGACTTTTATCATGCAATCTTTTTTTGAGACCTCCACTTATCAAAAATAATTACAGTGACTATAAAGAAGATAGACTCGCGTATTTTATCGATAACGTATTAGCTAATTATGATATAATATGCTTAGAAGAAATGTTTAGCTTTGGAAGCAGTCGTCGTACTCGACTATTGGAAGCTGCTGATAAGGCAGGGTTCAAATATTCTTTGACCTTGCCTTGTAAGGTTGAATTCAAAATAGCAATTGATGGTGGGTTAGTCTTGTTGAGTAGGTTCCCCATTAAAGAAAGCAATACAATGATCTATCCGAGTGGTGTTTTTAGTGATAGGTACTTATTTAGCATTATACAAATTATTTTCATTCAAAAAAAAAAACGGTTTTTGATTTATATAATAATATTATATTAATCGATATGTTAATTTCTCAGATTTTCCAATAAAGGAGTATTATATGCAAAGATCGAGTTGTCAGAAAAAGATATCATTCATCTCTTTATAACTCATACTCAAGCTTCTTACATGTCAGCACCACCTTTAACAGATAAATCTGTAATCATTCGTCAGGAACAATTATTTTTCCTCCGTAAATTCATTGATAAATGTACTTTAAATGAACCTCTCGAAGAGCCAATTATTTTAGTTGGTGATTTAAATGTTAATTCACGTCCTCAGCCCAATTCTCCTGATATGAATGGAGATACCGCTGAATATTTAAATATGATTAAAATCTTAAGTGGTGAAGGTATCGAAGCTAATCAAATCGATAAATCAACATCTCCTGATGAACGTTTATATAATAATCCTAAGATTGTCAAAATAATAGATACTCTCAAAGAACGGTATGGAAATCATCCAATTACGTTTGGAGATGTAATTATCGCTGACGATGGTACTATTAGCCCGAGAGAAACCGTTTTAACGGGAAAGGACGATTTACTATCTCAAGCTAGTTTGGATTATATTTTACTGATTGGTGAACAATCAAAGCAACGAATATGGGTTGATATTCAAGGAACTCGTGTTGAGGAGTTCTTCGTTAATAACACCTCAAATTATCCGTTCAGTCAATTATCTGGTATGTAAATAAAAGAAGTTGTCAAGAAAACGTTTTCTAATCTTTTTTTCTTTTGACAAAAATTATGTGCTTTCCTTTTTTACAGATCATTACGGTGTTAGTACTCATCTCATTGGCTCTTAAATTAAAGAAACTGTCTTAAAGGAATATTATGATTTGGAAATTATATGTAATATGTTCCTCATTAATAAAAGCTTTTATAAAAGGTCATTTATTTCCATTCTAAATACCAAATTCTTTGACCTTTTTTATATCTTATAATATCTTGTAAACTTCCGGTCATCAAACCAACACCTGCTCCAATCATAATTGCATATCTCGTACTTTGTTTCGGTAATCGATCTATAAGAAAATTAAAATTCGTGTTTGAATAATGATATTAATGCGAGCTCCCGAAGGACAAAATTTATAATACTTACATATCCCAGAAACAATCGCACCACTCATAATACCAGCACCAAAACTATTAATAAAATCATTCTCTTTCCTAATAAAATCCAATGTGGTCTCTAAACTACTATATAAAAAACATAATGCGCTCATTTTTGCAGAATATTTTAAACCAGCTCTTATTGCCCCCAACGTAACTTTATAATTTTTCTTTTTGTGATAAAAATACCATTGTTCTTTGGTTTTCGGTAATACATGTGCATGTTCTGCCAAGTATTGTAAGGAAGTCCGTTTTGCTCCTTGCCGACTACCCGACATAAAACCCCATATTCCTCCTATAATACAAGTTGTAGTAATCTTTTGATATGGTGTTAAATTAGCTCGCAATGTGTATGAGGGTACTGAAGAGGTTGCCATTGTAAATGAAATTTTTTTAATATTGAGATTTTAATTGAATTTTGAGATCAGAAATTTTGATTAATTATCAATCACGTGAAATTAAATTATGTCACGTTTTATATCGACTACAAAAAATAACTCTAACTTAAATCATAAATAATTGGTAAGATTATATCATCTTTGTAATACTTTGAATAAATATTGATTACGAAATAATGGATAATTAACGTGTTTTTTTTTTCGCTTTTTGAGAAAATTGGAATGATATTTTATTGATGATGAGTTAATAGCTATGTTAGAATATTAGTATTCCTTAGATTCAGATTTGCTTGACAAATAAGTAATAATTATAAAATATTAATTTATAATTATTATAAAAAAATATAATTTAAACTTAATTAGTAAATGCTTTTAATTAAAAAGTTTTAATTTTAAATTTCATATAATTGAATCACTACTGTGACCGGGTGATGATCTTGGCGATCACAGATCTGCAAATGTGTGGCGAAGTACAGAATGTCGAAAATGTCAAACATATTATTAATAGTATTTAACATATCAGATATGTCTAATATAGTTAATATACTGTAGTTAATATAGTTAATATGTCAATATATATAATAGAATAGATATAAATACAAGCTCTTTGTATTTTAGAAAAGACAAATTGATGGCTATTTAGAAACCTCTCTCTTGTAAAAGATAGCGAAACGCTACTCTTCACTTTGCTTATTTTCATTTTCTTATTTCATATTTTATTATCTTTTATTTCTCTTTTCTTCAATAAGTATTTCTTATTTTATATCATAAACTCTCTGTAATTACTGTGAAAACTCCAACCTGTGATTAAAGCTGCTCACGTTTAGTAAATCCAATCTGACTTGATAAAACTGATAATAAAATAATTAGGATTAGCATGAAACTAAATTGAAATTATATATAAACTATAAAAGAGTCAACCCTCTGACACTATGTCTAACAGTTGCAACCTGAAAAGATTGCATGTTAACATTTGGCGATGACGACAGGACCTTCTTCTCCTATTTATGTATTACAGCATAATTAAATAACTATTGATATATTCTCATGAACATATTTCATATATTTGACGATCTACTAAAATATCAGAAAATTTATCTCTAACTGCACACTAAAATCAACTGTAATATTAGGACTGCAAAACCACACACTGAAGATTCTTTCTATCTCATTTGTAACTCTAATACTGATTTCTCTAAACTCTCAAAAGCCTTTCAAACTTTCTTTGACTAGACAGTTAATAATCTTGAAGCATAACAATATACAGATAAAGTGTAATTACAATTGAACAAACTATTGTTGCGCTAACTATCAATTTCTAACGAGTGTACTTTTAACAAACTTTATGTTTTTTACATTATAATCGACTACTCTCACTACATTAGATCAATCTATTAGATTATATATTGAAGATTTAAAGAAAAATCAATATTAGAAGACTGCAAAAATAACAAATCTTAAAACTGTTACCACTACTCAGTCAAGCATGGGTAAACAATTCTCTATTGAAGAAGTAAGAAGGAGCTCTCAAAACTTTGAGAATACTTTAGATACTACCAACCTTGACTCAGATTCCAGATACAAACCTGACATTAGAAGTAGCAGTCTCTCTCACCTTGGTCATCCTAGCGGTATAAGACTCAGAAATAGCTACAGATTTAATAATGCAGAACTAGAAAATTAGGGTACTAGCTCTAAAAATAGGAAACTATTAATTTTACATTGTTTTTGATTTTAAAATAAGGATAATAATGATGCTAAATCCTCTGATACAAAAGATAAAAATAAACAAACAAATAATATCATGCAAACAGAAATTAAGCTGAAATTTAAGTTTAAAAGACATTCCCTAAAAAAAGAAGTAAAAGAAATATTAATAGTATTCTAAAGACAAAAAAAAAACAAAAACTTACAAAAAAAGAAGCAAAAGAAATGTTAATAGCGTTTCAAAAATAAAAAAACAAAAACAATCTCTCATCTTATAACCTAAATTAAAATCTAGATTTGGGAAAATGTCTTCTAAAAAAGAAGTAAAAGGAACGTTAATAGCGTTCTAAAGACAAAAAAATAAAAACTTACAAGAAAAAAGCAAAGGAACATTAATGACATTTCAAAAATAAAGAAACAAAAACAATCTCTTACATTACCTTACACTGGTCGAAATCAAAAAAATCAAACATGCGAAAATCAGCCTAAAATCAGCCTAAATTCAGCAAATTATCAAAAATCAGCCTAGCTGATTGGCATACATCAGAAATCGGCCAAGAATCAGCCAAAATTTGACCTATCTTATTTATAGCTGATTGGCATACTTATAGCCAATTGATATATATCAAAATTCGATCTATCTTATTTATAACTGATTGACGTCTGATTGGAATGATTGAATTATTCCTTAGGTATGATAGGTATTATCGTTCCTAAGGTTTTATCGTTCCTTAGGGATGATGGTATTATCATTTCTAAGAAACGATAGTATTAATGTACCTTAGATACAATACATTTATCGTTCCTTAGGGATGATGGTATTATCGTTCCTAAGACACAATGGTTTTATCATTCCTTAAGGACAATGGTATTATCATTTCTAAGGAACGATTCATTTATCATTTCTTAGGGACGATGGTTTTATCATTCCTTAAGGATGATTGTTTTATCGTTCCTTAAGGACGATGGTATTATCTTTCCTTAGAGACGATGGTTTTATCATTCCTTAGGGACAATTATTTTATCATTCCTTAGAGACAATAGTTTTATTGTTCTTTAAGAACAATTCCTTAAAGATGATAGTTTTATTATTCCTTAGAGATGATGGTATTATCGTACCTAAGGAACGATAGTTTTATTGTTCCTAAGATATAATGCATTTATCGTTTTTTAGAGACAATGATATTATCATTTATTGTTTCTAAGAACTGAACTTTTAGATTTAACCAATTGCTAAAATAATATTGATTTAATGTACTATTTGAGTTTATTTCTGGTATATAGAAATATTTATATAAATAAGCTTAATTTTTTAACTTTTTAAAATATAATTTCAATCATTTCCAAATTTTCTCTTTTTACATTCTACCAAAATCCCAAAAAAAAATCGTCTCAAGAACAAAAAGACCTTAAGTTGAATTTTAATCAATTTTCGCCTTCAACTATCAAAATCAGACGAAGAAAAAGCTGTATTTTAGTCAACTTTTCAAAAATTTTCTGATTTTTTTTACTTTTTATAATAGAAACATGCCTTTAACCATCAAATCAGACGAAACTTAAGTTGAATTTTTCTGATTTTTTTACTTTTTATAATAGAAACATGCCTTCAACTATCAAATCAGACGAAAATTAAGTTGAATTTTTGTGATTTTTCTGATTTTTTATTCTTTTTTTTCGAAAATGGTAATATTACTATAATGAATATTTAGGACGATTTAAGGGGATTTTAGAAGGAAAATAGATTATATTTTTATTATTTTACATGGTTTTTTCATTTTTTACTTATATTTTTTAGATAGGAAATTAATCAGTGGGTTTTGGTAATATTTATGTTATATTTTTGCGAATTATATTAGGTTTTTATTATTAATAAAATTATAATATTTAATAAATTTAATAAATATAATATATTGATTTTATATATTTATTTGATTGAATTGATACCAAATTGAGACAAATTTTAGGCTGATTTATGGTTATTTAAGTTCTGAATTGATGCTAAATGATGCTATATTGAGGTCAATTTTAAGCTGATTTATGTTATTTAAGTTTTGAATTAATGCTGAATAAAGGTCAATTTTAGGTTGATTTATAGTTGAATTTAATCTGAATGGCTATATCTGATTGGAGTCGATCAGTGTCTATCGACGTCTGAATTGTTGCCAAATTGAGACCAGTTTTAGGCTGATTTATGGTTAAATTTAAGTTTTGAATTGATAACAAATGACCATGTCTGATTGGGGTCGATTGGCGTCTATCGGCACCTGTTTGTGCTGATCAGAAAATATGGAAAATCGGCTGTAAATAGTATCAAAATCGGCCTAAAATTGGCCATCTAATTTTTAGCCGATTTGGACTATTTCGACTAGTGTATATCATATTTAATTTTAGAATTTATTATAATATTATAGATTTAATTGAATTTAATAAGATTTTTTTTAATTTTATTTGATTTTTTCTTTTGAATTAATTTATTTTTAAGAATTTTTAATGTAAAAGTTACTATCTTAATAATATAATATTTATAATTTAAAAATATTTAAAATTTTAAATTTATTAAAATTTAATTTATATGTTATTATAATTTAGTTATTATTTATATATTAAATTATATTAATTTTTATATTATATTCTATTTTTTCTAATATATGTTCTATATTTTTATTATTATTTTCATCTAAATTATTATTTTTTTTTTAAATAAAAGTATTTTATTTTTTTTAAAGGTATAAAAATATTTTTTAATATTCTTTTCTATTTTAAATAAAAATATTTATCATTAAATATAATTCATTATATTTACAAATCAATAATCTATTAGATAAATTAATAATAAATGATTATTTGTATCACAAAATTTATTATTAGCAGAATTTTTTTATATATTTCAATCTAAAGAAAGCACTTTCTTATATATTTTTATATAAAAATATAATTTTGAATATCTTATTAAAATGCTTTGTATTTTCTAGATTTTAATAAATTTTATTAAATATTTATAATAAAAAATAATAAAATATTTTTTAAAGATTTTAATTTATTATTTGAATTTAACTTTTTTTTTTTTTTTTTTTTACGTGTGGTAGCTTTGCACTAACTTTATTTAAAAGTAAAGTAAGATCTTACAAAATTACAAATTACAAGATAGAGAGTACAAAAATTTCTATTTAACAATGAAGCCAATATTATTTGAATTTAACTATATTTTTAAATTAAATAAATAAATTTTTAAAGTAAGTATTATTATTTTTTTAAATATTAATAATTTTTGCTTTTTGAATAATTTGTAATTCTAAATTAAATTTTGCTATTTGATATCTTAAAAATGATAGAAATTTTAATAAAATAATTATTAAAAATTTGCAAATTATTTTTCAAAATATTAATTATTAGATATTTTTGTAAAGTTTAAAAAATATATTACTTAAAAATATTTTATTATAATTATATTATTTTAATCTTATAATAATATTTAAATTATTACTTTGTAAATATTTTTTAAAATATCTATTTATAAAAATGTATTATATATCTAAAATAAGTAATATATACACATAGAATAATAGTAGATTGAGATATGATTTTGTTTTGTTGTTTCTGATAAATTCTGATTATAGTAATAAAATTTGAATAATCTATGGTAAAATAAATCAAGTAGTCATATATATTTCTTGTTTAGTATCTGAATACTTATAATATTATACAAATTTAAATGTTTATTGCTGATTTTTAAATAATAATTATATATCTAATTTTTAAATAATTTCATTACAGTCAACTCTTTCTACAACGAATTTTGATATAACGAATTTTACAATACAACGGATTTTCATTGTCGGAC